TTCACGAAGCAAATGACTAGTTCCTTTAATTAGTGCTTTTATTGTGAAATCACTCATTGTCCCGAAATTTTCGGAACTGGGCGGAGTTGCCCTTGAACGTGCACCACGCAGTCGGGTTAGATATACGACCGTACGCCGGTACGATGCTCATCCAGATCTCAACGTGCAGGGCTGGGGAGACACCTCTCAGGAAATATGGGGCGCTTCCACCGCCTCTTGACGCGTAAGATTATCCAGGAATTGAAGACGAAGTTGACGTTCGTCCAACAGCTTGTGACTTCAGAACGCATAGAAGGCAGAAGGAAAGTTAAACAGAGCAGGTAATGGACTGGCTTTCGTGTTTGCTTTCTTTTTTCTGCGTTCCGAGCTTTGTCCGGCAGAAAATGCTGATGCGCTCTTTTGACGTGGCAAATCTGGCGCCGTGAGATGATAAACGTGGAGTCATATTATTTACCGATATATGAACATTAAACCACCAAAAGCGTGGCTATTTCGATCCAAAAATGCCGTAGTGAACATGAGGAAAGTTATTGTTTCGAATTGGACCAAAATACAGATCGTCTACAAGCTTTTCCTGACAATGAAAGCAAAGCTCTGGGCACCCGTGAGCAGCGCACATTGAGCGCTGATCCGAGCTGTGCTCGCACGCTCTTCTTCGGAAGTTGTCCCCGAGTGTCACGCTCTCTGAGAATACGCATATTGATCATCTTACCCTTCATCAATTGTGGATATGTTAAACAACCTTCGTTATATTTTACCAACATGTGCTAACGTATTAATAGATAATTATCTTAATCCCTCGCCCGCTTTTAAATTATTGTAACCGAGTTTCGGACCCAGTAACTCGCACTAACTGGAAAATGTGCATCTAAATAAGAAACGTTGAGGGGTGTAGCTGGTGTCCCATCTGAGTTGTACGCTTCTAGCCTCATAACAGATTCCGCATCATCGGTGCACTCTGTACGCTGCGGTGATGAAAGACCTGGCACTCGCTAGTCGAAAGGGAGAGTGAATCATTAATGGGAATTTTTGGACGATTCTGGACATCTCGGAAAATATTTGCGTTTACCCTACGGGGGGGAAGCTACGTGTTAGAATGTTATTGTACGTAGAAGTGACTATGGCCCTCACACCCTGAAATACACTATTGAAACAATCCTCAGCCTATTCGTGGATAAAAAGCATTCTTAGGATAAATTTTTCTCGGGAAAAGCTCGATCACTCTTGTTCACGAGTACTCACAAACACTAGTCGCTTTTTTCTCTCTCTTGCGTGAATGCGCCGTGTATGTCCGTCCAGCATCGAGACTGAAAGACAAAAGAACCGTAATAGTCCGGGAGGTGTGTCGCGAAATTGGTGCAAGCCACGAGTCGTTTCCCTGCGGCGCCTGGTCGGCGCTCAAGGACGCACCAAAGCATCGACCTACGATGGGAAATACTGCAAACCACTTCATTTTTGCGGGCCCAATATTGCATATGGCACCAACTTTGCGAACTGTGGGTTTTCAAATTATTTTGCGGGTACAAAGTTACGCTAAGTATCTGCTACCATGAAGTACTCGCGCGCGATGAGCTTTTCTCGATATTCTTCGAGTCGGGAAATTCGCCCAAATGAGGGTCTCGGAAAAATAAGGACAGGGAAGGGGAGTTTTCGTCGAGCGTTTTCGGGCCTCCGTTCCCGGCAGCGAAGACGCTGGTAGTGCACGCCGCTCTCCTGCACAGGTTCCGCAGAGCGTTGCGGGACGACGGTCTCGCCGTGTCACTTTGTCGAAGCTCTCGTACGAGACGAGCTTGGAAGCCATGCGCGAGAAGACGTGTCCGCGCAGAAGAAAGCGGCGGGACGAGACCGGGTGCCGCCCGGGGCAGAGACCCCGACGGGAGGTCAGCGTGGCGACCTGAGCGGACGCCCTCTCGGTGCGCGCCGCAACCAGAACGAACCCTGGATGTGGGTTGTGCCAGGTGCAGTGCGCAGGCGCCGGGGTCTTTGCCCGAACGTCCACGATGCCCTGACCAATGGGATCGGGGCGTCGCGGAGCCAACGGGGCCATCGGCGGAAAACCCCCGCTGACACACATCAGGAGTCGACAAGAGCCGCCGTCCCGGTCACTTTCGCACCAGACGTCTTCCTTCCGGACCAGGTGAGTGCGCCCTCCTTCCGGCCTCCCGACCGCGGCTCAATGCCGGGCTTTGTGCCGCCCGGAGGACACACCGTGCACGCCTTTCTCACGACAGCGTGACGCAAGCGCCGCGAGCGATTGCTTCGCATCCCAGGGCAATGCCTCGTGAGTCCACGTATCCACTGACGCGGAATATTCGAAAACTTTCATCGCGGCATACGTTATCCGTCGTGGGAATCCGTGGAAAGTCCGTACGCGCTCCTATCTGCGCTCACAGGTTCCCAGAACGCGACGGATTGATGCGTCTATCGCCTCGCCCGTCCACGGAGCGATCGAAAAGCGCTTCGAGCGCGCTGTCCAAAAAGAGCGTCGCTCCAAAACCGCCTCATGTCCACCGAGGGACCGATGCCCTGCAGTAGAACGAACAAGTTCTCGCGCGTCACACTCCTCCAATCCGAAAGAAGAAAAAGTCGTCCGCAAAGCCGCTCACGATATCGCTAAACTACCCGTCAACAAGGAGAACGCTGGAAACGTATCGTCGACGCGTCGCTCGCCTTCCCCTAACAAAAGATTACCAGTAGATAACCAAAATAAGGCGTTGACGAACGCGCGTGCAAGATCCCATTTGTTCTCGGCTTTTGCTTTAGACGCCAGAGAGCTCCTTGGGGCTCGGGTAATTTAGAAAAGAATTAACGCGCCAGACGAAAGAATACGAACACACGACGGGGCTCTTTTTCTCTCCCCGTTTTCGATTCTGCTGGCTACCGGGATATGGCCGAAGTAAGTACGGAGACGCCCCGCGGAGCGTTCTAGCGTAGGCAAGGCGCAAATGGCGCCTCACCGACTCGCTCGACAGCCAGCCTCGACGTCTCGAACGGCCCATTCATCATCGGGGATGTCACGGTGGCGTCGCCGCACCGCTGCCAATCGACGGCTCTTATTTCCCAAGACGTGTGACGAGCGCCACAAATGACGGCCGCCAGCTCGCCTTCCATCCTGTCAGAATGCCTTCGTTCCTACGGAAACCTCACACTGGCTGCCTCGCGATGGGGCGACTTGCAACCCCTCGGAAACAATGTTCTGGCAGGTTCCATCTTCTAAACCACATCACTGGCGTGCGTCACGCAGTAGAGATTATGCCAATGCACGCTGGCAAAATGTCGTCCGAACCAAAAGCGATTTTGAACCCGCAGCGTGAACTCAACGTGCCGCTTAGCCGCGGTTGCTCGCCTCGCCCGCTTGCGTGGAAGAAAGGACATCCCTCTCCGGAAACTTGCACCTCCCACGAGGCAAGGCGTACTGCAACCGAGATTCAGTACAGCCTATGTGTCAACAATGTAACTCGACCTTATTTTTTTTTTTTTCTATAGGCGTGAGACAGCTTTAGGCATGCCGACTCGGGTCGCAGAATACCGGCAGTAATGTGCGCCAGAAAGCGCGAACTATAGGCAGCCGATGCTTGCCTCCGTGTTCCTTGGCCAGCGCGTGTCGAGCAATCCGGACGAAGGAGAGCAGTGGGTGCCCCGCACGAGAAAGTCCCGCGGCGCCGTCTCGGGCGACCGGGTCCGAAGAACAATCGCCGAACGAGGGCGTCAATTAGCCCGGGGTCGCCACTTAGCTGCCCCGGGACTCTTCCTGGTCGCCGCACCACTTGGACGACCGGGACAAACGGTGTCACGTCAGCTGGACACCGTAAGGCACTTCTCGACGGTCCCTTGTGGCGAAGGAGTTCCTTGCGGGACGTTCCGACTCCCGCGCGTCCACAGATTTCGAACGCCCAGGAACTCGCCGGGGTGTCTCGATACTGGGACAGGACTCCTTCGGCTTGCGCTCGCTGACTTGGCCGGTAAGCTGAAAATGGAGGCCGGCCACGAGCCAGCCGCCTCGCATCCATGTGCCGGCTTTCTTTTTCCGCTCTGAAAGCGAGAGCTGTTCGCGCTCCGTCGCGCTAGGCTCCGACTTCCTCGCCGCGAGCGCAGGGCAACGCCCCCGCGGGAGCGGCCTCCCTCGCCCTGCGCGCTGGAAGAGCGTCCAGCTGACGAATCCAAGATGTCTCTTCCGAGTCCTCGGACGACCCCCATCTGCGAGTCGCTGGTCCGGGTCGCTCTTCCGCTCACATCCCGATCCGACGGATCGCTCGGCTGCCTCGGCCGGCACATCGCGCACGTGCGAGCAGAAGGCGTCCTCGGCGCCCTCGCCGCCTCGCCGTGAGTCTTTCGCACGCACTGGTAGATAATACCACTCACCGCGTTCGATGGTGCGCTGCCTGCCACCGGGAGACCCATTTTAAACTCGTTTCGGTAACAGACTCTCTCTTAGTCCTACGGGGAAATAAAAACAACGCGCCTAGCCCCCGGAACGAAAAGAGCTGAGCAATCTCGCACAATACGGCTCGTCTGCGCAAGCAGGTCGTGGCCACGTTTCTCGTGCTCCAGAGAGCTGGCTACCAAAAGTGGACGCGAGGAGAGGTGATGTTGCGTGTTGGGGCGCCGCCACAACAGCACCATCGAGCGTCATAAGGTACTCCCGATCTTTTTGCGCGCTCGTGCGTGCCCTGGTCATTTTGAAGAACGACCCAACACGCGCACTTCCTCCCTTCCGAAGACTCGAGCGGCTAGACTGTTTGGACAGATTCGGACCCCGCTTCGAAGCACGGAAGAGGCGGTTTCACGGAAGCGACTACGACCAGAACCTGGAAGAGAGTTTCCGACCGTCGTGCTACGCCCCTTGATCGGGTCAGAGCGGTCATCCCTCGCCCTCCGCGTCGGGAATCCGAGGAGACGTCCGCCCCGACGGCCGCCGACCAAGGCGCGCTGTCCCAGCGAAGGACGTCGAGACTCGGGCAGGCACCGGCCGGCCTCCCGACCAAGGGGTCGGCCGCGTCAGTTGCCCAAAACGAGAGCGAGGAGGAAGAGAGCACTCCTCTCGGAGGGGCGTCGACAGAGCAGACGCACGGCACGCTGCTGTCGGCCGAGGTCGCCGTTGCACGAGACGTGACCACGGACGTGACTCAGATGACGCCGTACGGATAGCCACGGAGCGCCGAGGCCAGGGCCACCAACAGGGTACGTTCCCGCCGGACACTGCACCACACGCTCACCAAGCACTGAGCTAGCCGAGCTGCTCTACGTAGCTGTCGCCAAGGGGAGGCACTCACTTGATCGAATGACGTTTTAGCGAACGCCCACGTTTCACCGGATTACTAGCGAAGAGTCGGACGCCGCGAAGCGGCGTTTTCGGGTGGGACAAATGGGTTCACGTTTTTGCAATGAGCCGCCGCAGACTGTCGCCGCGAAGCGGCGTAAGCGCAGCGCGGCGGATGGGTTAACGCCCGCCCCCGTCATCCGCTAAAACGTCAATTCGTTCAAATGTCGCTGTTCGCTAAAACGTCATTCGCTCATGTGATATGGACCCCTTTCGTTGCGGTTATTTCCGGCTCCGGTTTTTATATTTCGCTTAACGGGTAAGCGTTCCTCGAAACCGTTCCTTTCTCTTTTTTTTTTTTTTTTTTTGGTTCCAAAAGAAGGTTAGAGAACGTAGTTACAGTGTTCCTCGGTGTCGAAAATGGCGTCACTCTTTGTGTACTATACTCGGCGTCAACTGTTTTGTGCTACATTGTCAGGGCAAGCATGGCTTCCACAGTGCTACAGACGAGAAGCGTCAAAACTATTCAGGAGGGAAGTGGGGTTTCCTCCCTCGAGTTGATTGCTTGATAGGTTCTTTTTTAAATGCGAAATGTCCCTTTTTTTGGTTCCGGAAGAAGGTTAGACAATGCAGTTACAATGTAGACGCGGCAATGTTTAACGCGGCACTCTTCTAGGTTCCACAGTTTCGCTTGCGTAGTCGCTGGTGAGACTGAACTTCATTGTTTAAGTTTTCGACAGTATTTTTACGATGTCATCTTTCTCATTCAAGTCGTAAAACTTTACGATTACTAGCCTCTCTACTTTATCACGCTTTTGTTTATGAATTCTTTCCACAGAAGTTACATTGACGCCGAGCCTTTTATCGAAGACGTCATTTCGACGCAATTTAGACTGAAGTGGGACTATTAAGCGCGTGCGCGGAAATCGGCAACGAGCTGGTGCCACCCGCCGAAGGCGTAAACGTTGATAATAATTTTCTCGCATTTAAATTGCACAACCGTATAAAGGCTGTTCAATAGTGCCGCATAGAATTGTGCGAAAAGTTGGAAGCTTAACCAGTCGAACGTCGAGGTTGGCCAAAATACCTCCCTATAGCCTGGGCTCCCTGGCGCGTCTTGGACTGGTCTGTTTGCCGTCCTATCTGGCCAGTTCCGAAGTCACAGCGTGTCATATGTTCTCGGATGTCGACATCTTGGCGGCTGGTGCTACAAGTGGGGGCAAAAAATACGAGTAACGCCAGTGTCGCTGTCGTCGCGCCGTCCCGAAGCTCGTTTGCTTCCGATGACTGTCAAGCTGAAAAGCGCAACAGAACAGCAGCGGAGATAAAGTGACTCCGCTGCTGTGACAGACCACCATCGGTGACATCTCGGGCATCAGCAGGCGGAAATCGAGAGACCACATTTTAGGACGCGGTAAATACACCAGTCGGAGACGCGAGGAAGCCGCCTCGTCTCCGACTGGTGGTGCGTTTAACATCCTGTCCCACCCATTCATCAAACGTGGTCCCCATGTGGCAACAAATGACGTCGCAGATGCCGGAGCATGGCCTCCAAGGTTCCTGGCGCCCAAAACTCTGCCCCTGCCATTCCATTCGTCCCGGGAGACTGACACGAGGGGGAAGAAATGTCTCGAGGCTGTTTCTGTGCGCGGTGGCGCCAGACCCGAAAAACCGTCGTCATGGACCTTGCTTGGCCAGCGGAGAAAAAGACGCTCGTTTGCCCGAATTATAGTCGTTGCTTCTCACCCCAACACACTTCTTCTAGGAAACTAGGTTTAAATAGGATCGTTTTTTCTTTGAAAACCGGGAAAGATCGATGTAGCCTCGACGGGCGAACTCAATCATGTCGGACAAAAAATAGTGGCAATCACGATCTCGATAAAGACCCCAAAATATTCTTTGTGAGGCTAAGCGCGCGAAACGTCATGCTCAGTAGACCCTCGCAGGTCGCTTTAATGAAGAGGAGTGGCTCGAGTTCTTTGGTCTCGCTCGGGACTGCATTGTTTCTTTCGTGATTTCTCTCGTTTGTCTAATTTTCCCGATCGCTTTCGTAGTGACCCGCGTTTCCCTCCAGTGTTCCTGGGACGTCGTCTCGCCATGATAGGGTTAAGGTGCCTGGAGCGCGTCCCCGACTGGCGTGTTCACAGTTGCAACCCGCCCATGCATCAAAAGTGGTCCCGGCAACGAATGACGTCGTAAGAGCCGGGGTGTCATGCTGTCGGAGGTCGCGATCCTGGCGGTTGATCGTAGAAATGCTGGTGAAAAGCGCGAACGAACGCGAGTGCGACCCTCGGGTTCGCGGCGTCTCAACTTCTGTCTGCCGAAGCTTCCGTGGACAGCCACTCTGGTGAGCGACCTGCAGTAGAACAGGCGTCCGTCACATCCAGCGCCGCTGCTGGAACACCGCCAGGATCGCGACGGGCGACAGCGTGACACTTGCATGACGTCACCAGGCGGAAATGTGGGGACCAGTGTTTTTGAACGCCGTAAAGACACCAGTCGGACACGCGTTACAGGCACCATAGTAGGGTGCCTTCATGTGCGCTTTGCTTAGGGCCATTTTGTTCCGAGCGCTTATTTTTCGTTTTTGTTCTCGAGCGCGTGAAAGAGCGTCTCTTTGCATTTGCCCTGGGCACTGGCATTGCTATATGGCGGCATTTTGTTTGCGGCGATTTCTTCGTATTTTTTCCCGCGAACGCGTGCTGTCGGCATCGGGTACTACAAAGGATACACCCTAAGCAAAGAGCACAAAAAGGCAGCCTAGACTTTACTGTCGGTATGGTAGTCAACGATAAGGGCGACCTGGGACTGCATGACCGGTCGTCTCATTGGCTGATCAAACGAAGATCGATAATTGGTGTTCCGGGTCCAGGCAACTCGGCAGCAGCGTCCGAGAGCGCGTCGCAGGAATCCTGGGGGTCTCGATATGGGTCGCCCCCAAGTTCAAGAGTCCCAGGACGAGCGAGCGAGCAGATGTAGGTCAGGCGAACGCCGCACCGATGAGTCGGCCGCGACCAACTTTCCACGGAGCTCACGACGGCGCATCTTCAGCTGGCACGTGCGAGACTCTGGCTGCACGTTCGCCGAGGCCCGGCAGGCAGCCGAGCGTGTCGCTTTCCTTCCTCGAATGAGGCGTCGTATCTCGCTAAAGCGGACAGACCTCGCGTACGCGATTGACCTTCCTGTTGCCGTTTTTTCGACGCACGACGCCCGGTATCCGATCCCGTTACGGCGCCGATACGTGCGCATAATCGTAGGCTAATCGTTTCCGGCGAACCTTCCGAACACTTTCGATTCCTTCGTTCAACTCGACAGAAAGCGAAGACCGAATTCAGCAAATAGGGAACCTGGGCTACGACAAGACAGGTTTTCAGACCGTTGCATGCGCCACAAACACGGCGGAAGGAGGAAACATAAAAAAAAAATAAAAAAAAAAAAAACGATGCTTAATAGAACACCTCCCAGTGGGCCACCTGCAACTTGCAAGATCCCAACGCGCTGGTGGCCACGAGTGAGGCTCGTTGAGAAATCTAGGCAGCAGTCGTGCCTAACCCGTGCGGGCCTCTCGGACGGCGCGAGGTGTTGGCCGAGCCATGCGAGCTGATGGGGCCCTCATCCCCCAGGATGAAGTCTCACTTCGCGCTGCTGGCGGCGTCCTGCCTCGTGGCCTGCGTTTCCGAGGCTGGCCACATCATCCCCTGGCTCACCATCAGCAAGAGCATCTTCATCAAGCCGTGAGTAGGCCTTCAATTTCCCGGCCGAGAACCGTGGGCCGACGGGCCACCGTGAACGCTCTCGAGAGACGCAGTAAAAAGGCTGTCGAAGGGCCGACGCTTCCATTGCGCACGACGCGTCTGCGAGGCGGGATTCGGGGGTTCCACTGAACACATAAGCGCCGTTCACACACTTGCAACCGAGTACGACCGAGAGACAGTACCGGTTTTTAGACCTCTTGCTACGGCGGAGAGCCGGATGCGCTGCTGCGGAGCAGGTCCTACGCCATCGCAAAAGGTTTAAAAACCGGTCTTGAGACTCGTTCACACATCTGCAACCGAGTACAACCGAGAGAGACACGACCGGATTTTAAGCCTCTTGCGACGTCTTAGGACCGGGTGCGCTGCTGCGGAGCTGGTCCTAAGACGTCGTAAGAGGCTTAAAAACTGGTCTTGTCTCTCTGGGTCGTACTCAATAGTAAATGTGTGAACGAGCCTTCATCTTTCTCGGTCCTACCCGGTTGCAAGTGAGTGAACGGCGGTTTAGCCGACAGGCCGACCTCAGTCCCAGCGACGGCCAGCGAGTTTCGGGTTCTACCATCAACTCGGCTCTCATGCCGAGGCATTGACTGGGAAACAGGCTTCTCTCGCCCGAAAAAGGGTTTCCGCGCACGCGCACTTTCGTGCACAAACACGCTGGTTGAAATACAGCGGGAAACCGAATGAGGCTGAGGACGAAACGTCGACTATAGAACCCACAAAACTCCGCTTTCGATGACATCGTTGGTGCTCTTCGGTGTTCCCCGTTCATTTTAACGCGAGGGTGTTCGGGAGCTCGTGTCGCAGAAACTCCGGCGTCGGCGGGGCCGGAAAATCCCGATTGGTCGATAGGGTCAGGACGTCACTGCCACGTGTGACGTCGCGCCACATGACCTCGCGCGGGAACAACCCGCAACGCTCACGTGTGACCTCACACGTACACTTTCACGTGACGCCACCGGAGATGATGGGAGACCCCGTTCGTGGTGAGGGGAAGGGAAAGGTATAGCTTAATTATGATAAAGATTTATTTAATCGATATAACTAAGGGCTAGACCCCTCTGATCGACATACACACGAGAAAACTCACTCGGAAATGTAGACGTTCCTTCTCAATCTGAATAAATACAACTTTTATTGCCAGGCTTGACTAATAAGGCGTACCGCGTACCGAATGCCTTCGCAGACCTCCTTTCGAGAACGACTAGTCTAGGACAGCCGAAGGATTTCTCCGTCATCTTCTCGAAGACTATTGGCCACGAGATATGTTCTTTTGGTTTTTGACGTCACGACCAGGATTATCAATGACTAGCGACAGTCTAGGGTGCGCAACCCAAAAATGACGCGGGCCAAAAAATGTTTATTAGGAACTGCGCGGGTTTTCAATATCTGGCAGACAGGTTTTCAATATCTGGCGCCATCGTACTGGTTGCCGTCTTGGCCACATCTCGGAGTATCACGTCTGCGGGGCGCACAGAAAGCGCCCGCGGGCCGCGCATTAAACCATGGCTCTAAAAAGCACGGCGAACCCTTGGAGTCATCGCGTCTTTAAGCCGTCAAAGCTGACAGTCTGGCATTCATGTTATCTCCATTAATAAACGTGGCATATATCATATTTAAAATGCCATCATAGTGAGCTTTTGGCCAATCGCGGAAGGTCGACAACAACTACGTTTTTGGTAGCGCACCTCGCCAATATCAAGAATTCACTGGCGACCGCAGAAAGATTTCACCGGGTTCACTTAGCACCATCCGTGCTGTGCATCTTGGCAGGCTAAGGTTCATTTACCCATGTTAAAGATTTTGAAGTGATATCATCAAACGTTCATAAACAAACTGCTTCATTTTAAAGACGATAAAACTTCTTGCCGATCAAGCCGGCGCCATCTTGCGTCTCTTTTCCGTGGTTGCCAACCGAGGATTAGTTCTCCGCCGAACCTGGCGGTCTTCTAGACGGATCGCTGACACTCGGCCGTACTGACTATGGAAACGTCCTCGTTTCCCGTAGCGTCGTCATTGTCTTCTGCTTAGCAATTGGCCGACCATGTCTTCGTCTAGCACGTTTTTGTTTGCTCGTTCTATAGGGCTTGGAGTGGACTGCTGAGCTTCCCCTTTCAGGGCAATGTCTATTTCAACGAGGTTCGCACAACCGAGCTCGTCTAAAGCAGACTCCGTGCTCGTTGAGCACCTGGATGAGGGCTTGACGTTCAGCTATGCAGTCACACTGCCGCCAATGGTAACCTCGCTTTCGTCAATTGGAGTGAAGTTCCACAACCCTGGGTCGAAAGTGCCCACCTCGTTTAGGGGATTGCATTCGTATATGTCCACCTCCTCCACACGCACTAGGCTTGCTCCTTCGGCACCTGGACTGTGTTAATACTGTTCGCCACAGGTACGGTGATCTCGGTGTTCGTGACGTGAAGCAGGCTGCCGGTGATAGAGTCCTTTTGTTGTAAAATGACGTCAACATCACGCTCGAGGTCGACACTGGCCACAATGAAGTTGACAGAATGCGGTTCGAGGGCGACGTCTTCTGTAGCGGACATCTTCATGCGCTGTCCTTGCACAAGTAGTTCGAGGTCCTTGAACATATCGTCCTTTTTGTCCATGATATGAAAGGTGTCATCAACCTTGAGGTCAGCTATGTTGGGCAGCTCCGTTTACGTTCGTCCAATAATTACTGGTATGTGTTGCGCAGTGTCCGGGACGACATGAAGCTCGACGTCTTCACCCCTTAGGCCATCCATTTCGATCACTGCACAAAATTTAGAGAGGCCTTTGGCAGGGTTATGGCCGAATCCGTGAAGGTCCAGGTCATCTGCTTCAAAGTTGGAGCAACATCCCATTGTGTCAGACGCTCTAATGGTACCCACGGAGCTCTCAGGGTCCACAAGTGCGCTGTAGCCTTTCTCGTTGATAGTACTTCACCTCAGCTTGCACGCTGGTAGCCGGAGACGCGACGTATTGCGCTGAGCCTTTCCGCTCTCCGGAGCCTTTTCACTAGTGATCGTGGGGCAATCTTTTACGATATGCCCATACTTGCGACATTCGAAGCACCTTGGTCCTTCAGTCTTGACAGCCACTTTCGGCTTCGTCTGTACCGCTGCCGATGCTGACACGAACCTTGCTCCGCGTTGATTTGTTACACGGCTGCTTCCATGGGAACTTTGGAAGGTGGCATCTTTTGACTCCAGGTTCTTAGCAGACTCCAGGAGGTCCAAAGACGTTAAGAAAGTCGCTGCTTGAAGTCGCAGGATCGCAGCGTGGTTCACGTTCCGAAGTCCCGCAATTGTAAGATTGCGCCATTGTGAACTCATTTCCTTGACGTCACACTTGTCACACTTCGAGCAGATGAAGCTCTTGTCAAAAAAAAAAAAAAAATAATAATAATAATAATCAGCGACGGACTCACGCTGTCCCTTTGTCAGCCGGAGCATGCTCTCGTAGAGTGCGAGGGGTTTATTGTCGTTAGGGATGTCGCGAACCACCCTAGGTTCGGTTTCAAAAGGTTTCGATATTTGCGAAGCGAACTAAGGTTCGATTTCGAAAAATTTCGATATTTTCGTACCGACCGAGGTTCGAAATAGAAAATTCCGCAACTTCCGATGACAGTGGAGTTTCGAATTCGAAAAGTTCGAAGCTTTCACGGTTTCTAAAATTTCGGGTTCCAATATTTTGAATATTTTTTTTTACTTGAGGTTCGAAAAATTCGAAGATTTCGACCTTTCCTCACTTGAAATTCGAGATATTCGAAAAATTTGAATTTCTTGGGATCTGAAGTTCGAAAAATTCGAAGACTTTGAAATTCTTTGGAAATAAAATCGAAAACTTCGACCGCTTCGTATTTTTATAAACATGAAGTTCGAACAAATCGAAGATTTCGAGCTTATTTCTGCATAAAGTTCGAAAAGTTCGAAGGTTTCGATTCTCTTTGAACGCTAAAAAAAAAAAAAAAAAAACTTTGAAGATTTTGAGTTTCTTTCAAGTTCAAGTTTTCGAAGTTCGAAGTCCGGTTTTCAAGTTCCTAGACAGTTTAAGTTTCAAATAACGTTTTCACGACTCACTGGTTTTCACGAAATCAAGTTTAGAAAAGTTAGGGTGTGATATCTAGGCTCTGCGAAGTTGGTCAGGCAATCAAATGAGACGACGAGTGTCCCGGATGTGCTGGAATATTTGCCAGTGCGGACTGACGTGTGACCATAGATCAGTAATTGTGACTGCCAGCCCGGGGAAGCGGGGGGGGGGGGGGGGGGGGGGGGCTTTAAGCTGCATCACGCAGTAGTGATCACACGAACACACTGTTTTACGAGACTCATCCAGTTCGAAACGGCCAGGGGCGAGCAGGAGGTTGAGGCTCAGAAAAACCTTGAAGCGACCTGGCAAACTAGCTGGCCACCCCTTGTACGCTGGTAGTAATCCGATCGAACGCCGCCCGAGTGACGCTGGCATATAGTAAGTTAAAGGGACCATGAAATGATTCTAAAATCGAATTTCATCCACCGCACGGCGTAAAAGGTGTGAAAAGAAACACAAAAACACAAAAATAGGGAGCCAAAAAAAATTATTTGCTATAGAACTTTTAAAAGAAAACTGGATTCTTTTGCGCCTTCTTTCCTTCGCCTTTTCACTACGATGCATCCGCGGAAACGGGGCACGTCAGCCGAATCCACGTCGCCTATTGGGCAAGAGCCTACCTCACCAGCACCGCGATCGTAAACAATAAATAGCCGGCGAATGTTTCCTAAAAGTTTTGTTAAATAATATTCAGATCCACATTCTGTAGCATAATTAAAGATGTGTGGCGAAAATTGCGAAATTTGATAAGGCTGAGAGCCAAGCGCCATCTATCGTGTGGTAAACGAAGCAACTACTGCGCGTGCGCAGTAGGGCAGGGCCGACTTCAGTTACTTGGGTTGCGACGACCGACGAACGTTTATTTTTCTACGTGTTCTTCTCGCGCGTGCCGACTTCAGGCAGCAAGA